TGTACACGCCCCTGCTCGGGCGCGAAGCGACCAGGCGAGGGAGCCAAGCGACCGAGCGGGGGGAGGGTGTGGGAGGGGGGTGTTCACTGTTCATCCTCCTGCACGATGGAGATTTTGCAATTATTACGCTAAAATGGAGCGACCTGAGGTGAAATTCTTGCACATTTGCAACATATTTTTTTTTGCTTGGGGGGTGGCTCGGGGGGGAACCCCCCTTGGCTACGGGCCTGTAGTGTGGGCCTATTTACATACATAGTCTAGATACTATATTACTAAGACTAAGACTAAGAGTAAGATAGCATCAGGAATTGATAAACTCCTGCATGATAGCATTACCAAGAAGTATATTCTCGTGCACTGCCCTGCATTTATGGAATCAGTGATGTACTTACCATTACCGGATAAAAATGGTCTATCATCCATGGTTTTACTTGTCCCTTTGTATTTAGTTCCAACAAACCTCGTTGCTAGGGCCTATAATTTTCTTACCAACTGAACTAGGTTTCTCCAAGCCCCTTCATCATGTGAAAATGCATATTGTATTATCAATTGTATCAGTGTTTTCTTACAGTTCCTACAATCTCGAGATTTTTTATCACTAATAAATTTGATTAAACATAAAAATCTCGTGTTGATTATATGTTTGATATTAAACGCAGCACTGATTCTGAGAGGTAATAAAAATGGGCGTATAAAAACGCTAACGAGATAATATGTAGAATGTTCACATAGATTGGCAAGCGCAACGTAGAATAGTGACGTACAGCTCCAACCAATACGTGACAGTTCTACATAGTTCTAAGCTGCGTATGTGAAATAGTGACGTTGTGCTCAGGAACGCTATGTCAGTATTTCACATACTGGCGGACGGATTAACTGATATATATATATATATTACTCGTAGCCCTCCAGCCTGTGTTCAATCATTGTCTCGCTTCCTGAACAAAGCAGTTACTAAAACAGTACTAACGTGTACTGTTCTGCATTGTACGCGTATACGTCTGGGACGCGTTAATCGTTAGTTATATGTTGGTTTTGTAAAAATATTACGCAACTCTACTGCTAAAATTATGTAGCCATGTTGGAATTGGAGCCGATGGAATAGCAAGCGAAATGCATGACATGTCGGTGCCAAAGGTTTCGTGTGAAGTCTCTATAATTCTCTGAAGTCTGATTATATCATCACTTA